GCAGGCAGCCCGATGTGGGGCTCGATCCCAGGACCCTGGGATCATGACCTGAGCTGAAGGCAGACGCTTAATGACTGAGCCACCCAGGCGCCCCTAGGATACACTTTTTAAACTAGTTGTACTCCAGTAACTTTGTGAATGAAAAAAAGGGGAAGAAAACTAAGAACAAATAATGGAGTCATTCTTTCATGGATCCTCATCCAATTTCAGGAAAATCACTTCCCAAAAGCAGCAATTCTAATAAATCTTTCCATGTCTAAAAAGAAACTGAAACAAAAGGGAAATCATGGGAAACCTGTGGTAGTTTACTAGATATTGTGTGCTTTTAGTAGCAGTGCAATGATATTTCTAATAGTCACTTTATAATGAGATTTTAAAGCCAATTCTTTGTTGGATATCTGCTATGCCTAGCTTTTTGTATCACTTAAACCTTCAGTTAATTGCTATATCCAGGGATTAGATAAGATTTAAAAGTTTTAATTATGTTCTTTTTTGGGCGCCTGGGTGGCTCAGTTGGTTAAGCGACTGCCTTCGGCTCAGGTCATGATCCTGGAGTCCCGGGATCGAGTCCCACATCGGGCTCCCTGATCAGCAGGGAGTCTGCTTCTCTCTCTGACCCTCCCCCCTCTCATGCTCTCTATCTCATTCTCTCTCTCAAATAAATAAATGAAATCTTTTAAAAAAAAATTAATTATGTTCTTTTTTAGTAAATCATGTGGGGCATAATTTAAGATTTCATTATTTAGGATTTTACAATATCTTGAGGCAAAAGAATATCAATTTGACTGAAGATAGAGATGTAGAAAGTGATATTGATTGCACTAATTCCTATCAAGACTGTTGCCTGAAAGTTGAGTTTTTGGCAAAAATCCAGGGTTTTTTGTTTTGTTTCTCTCCCTCCCCCATCCTTTTTTCACCTTGTCCCCTTTCTTCCTTCCCTTTTTCTCTTTGTTACTCTCTCCCTTCCCTCCTCCCTTTTTTTCCAAAGAGAAAAAAGAGTTCTTGTTAGTTGAATTTTGATTAATTAAAATTTATCACACATGGGGAATAATTATAAATATAAGAGATGGATGCCATAAAAGTTGTACTCCATTCTGGTAATAGAACTTTAAAGCTAGAGCTCCCAAGGCTCTTGCTTGTTGTTAGTGTCATACTTCAGTACTGTACAGAGGACCAGTGATGTTCACAAAGTAATTGGTTTTGTAACCTTATGGTTTTGTTTTGTTTTTTAATTAGGTTTCATTAACTTGAACAACATTTATTTTGTTTCCCTTAGGACAGTTTCTTTTAAGTGTTCAATTTTTCATACCCTTGTGCCTCCTGGTTGTTACTAAGGGTCCAAGCCCTTGCTTGGTGTTTAGCATTGTAGAGGGCTTAGAAATGAAAGAGGAGCTCAAGTGAGAGTCTCCTGACTCTCACTGGACAGCTCCCCTCCCCAGATGCTTTAGAGAGGCATAATGAGAACTGGGTGCTTGGAGAAAAAGTTTGAAATGATGGTCCTTACGCTGGATTTGCTTCTGTATATAATTTTGTTCTTTAAAAGCCCACTCATAGGTTCTTTCTTGAACAAACAATCTCATTTAAATTAATAGATAATGATTTCACTCATTACTTTTTTCTTTTCTTTTTTCTTGGTATTTGATCTTGCAAATATTTCCTCCCAATTCTGAGCTGTTTGGCCTTCTAAAGAGTGGCTGTTATTTGGAACAACCTAAGTGTATCTTCTCAACAATAAAATGTGTCCAAACATCTCGGCAGCAGGAGAGCTGAGATCACTATTGAAATTGTATATTTTGTAATGCTGGTTTAGCTGTTTTTCCTCTTATCAAATTAGAAACATGTGGAAGTGTTTCTGCGTGTCTTCCTCCTTGGCAGGTGTCATGCCTCCGGCATGTGAGTGTAGGCCCTATTCAAACATTGTTCTTCCACCAGCACCTCAGTGGGCTTATCCACTAAGACTAGTCTCATTAACTCTTAGCTTGCCATTTTTACTCATAAAAAGCCAAATAGTGACTTTGGTTCCATTAGCACTAAGTTAGAGGTTATGTTTGTTTCAGAGTCTTAGGTCTTAAAATTCTTAGAAGCTGTTCACATGCAAAAAGTTCTTTTTGTACAGATGTTTTAGTGTTTAAGATTATGCAGTTATTCAGAAAGTAAAAGAAAAATGCATGAATAATTTATTGCCTTTGAATTTTTCTTTCCACCTTAAATGTGGATGTAAGTTTTTTAAAAAGAGTATGATTTTGCTTAATGTTTTGAAAATTATTAGGGGTTAGGAATTCTGCCAGATTTGATGCATATTATTCATCTTAATAAAGCTCTTGTGTTTTAATAAAAGCACTAGGCCAAATTTTTTTAAAAGGAATATTTTGGATAATTAATTTTATTTTAGTTGCTCTCTTAACGTATTTTTTCCTATTTAAGAAACTTGGAATATAGGTCTTTCCATATGGAATCAACTAAAAATGTAAAAAAGCAGTATATACCTGTAAAATCAAAAATTTAAAACTAAGGAGAGCTAACTCACTGTCATCTTTTTCTCTGACGCTCTCTTCCTAAAGCAACACTATTAGTACCAGAAAGGGTATCTTTTGTCCTTACTTGATTTTAATCTCTTTTAAGCTTATCTATCCTTTGAACAACTAAAGGAAAATGGATGTTATACCCAGAAGTATTTTATCTGTTGGCATTTTCTGACTCATTTTTTCTTGACTCCTAAGCATTTGACTTCCATTGACCATGTTGTCTTAAAAACTTCACCCCTTAACTGGTGTTTATGATACTATGTTATCTGTTAACCGGTTTATCTCCTTACCCTTTCTTTTGGGCTCAAGTCAAGGCCTACTGGATATTTCTCCCATCCAAGTACTAACCAGGCCCAACCCTGCTTAGGTTCTGAGATCAGATGAGATCAGGCACATTCAGGGTGGTATGGCTATAGACTAAATGCCTACTGGAGATTTCTATTTTGCTCATGCATTAGCACATTTTACAATATATATTTCCTTTCTATCATCGCAGCATCCTTATTCAACTTTTTTCTTTCTTTTATATATATAGTCTTGAAAGCTTAGAATAAATCTTAGGCTTATTTCTTACCCTTGCGATTGTTTTCCTTTTAAAATGACTCTGTAAACAATTTTAACAGTGTTTCAAGCTAGCCTGAAGGAAAAGCAAACATCCTGGAACAAACCATAAAAAAATTTAAAAAAATAAGACATTTGAATATTAAAAGTTTTGAAGGAAATCCTTTCTTTAATCCAGAAAGGGAAATTGTTAATGGGCTTCAGACCAGTTCTTACAATGATAGTAGGATTCTGTTGTTTGGCAAAGATGAGTCACTCCTTATCTATCTGCCCTCAAAAGGAGTTACAGAGATCCCTTACACCTAGACATCATGAAGATTGAATGTGCGGAGGAGGATGACTCGCTTTCTTAGCGGCATATGTACTTCCTCAAGTGGCCTTGTCTTCCTGTGGTAGCTTGAGAATGAGAAGTTGAGGTGAAGGCTTAAGCTACTTTTGTAGATTGAAGTGAAGCTACCCAAAGGGCCTATGCAAATGGGGACAGTATTTCAGACTGCTTTATTATTATACGAGCAGTCTGGAAAACAGTTTTCATTTGAACATAGATTTTTCTTTCCTTGCTCAGTGAGTGTGTCCTATTAGATTGCATAGTCCTGATACCACCACAGACACATCTGACAGAGCACATTTTGTGCCCGTCAACAAGTTGCCACTACCTTTTTTTCCAAAATACTCTCCACATAATAGCTAACATGATTTTTTTAAAACATAAATTGGTGTATGTTACTTCTCTACCTAATCCTCTTTGGTGGCTTTTTATTGACCTTAATATAAAACACTTGACTATACTTACAAGGTCCTTGTATTATAGTCTGCCTCCCCTCTCTCATCTTGTAACCTCTCTTCTTTGGGCAATTAAGTCAGTTGTAAAGTCCTTCCTGAAATTTCTACTTTTTAAACCCCAGGAACTTCACAAGTTCCATGCCTTCTTTCTGGAATGTTCTTCTGCCCACTTTTTATTAGACTAACTCCTCTTCCTCTGATTCTCCGATTATAATTGACTTTCTCAGAGAGGCCTTTCTTGACCTTCATATTTAAAGATATACCCCCCCATTATTTCTCTTCATACATTTACATTATATAAGTGTATGTTTTTATTTGTTTAATGTCTGTCTGTCCTGCTCAACTGTAAGCTTTTTGAGGTGAGGGATCAAATGTATTTGTTCATCATTGCATACCCACCTACTAGAACAGTGCCTGGAAAGTCATAGGCACTGTTGAATAAACGATTGATACTTGGGGTTTGGGATATTAGTCTGGCTTATCATTTCCTAATAGTTACAAACTTTTCTACAATTTTTTCTTTAATAAAACTTTGTTTTTACTGTTTTTACAACAGTGTCTTGAATTAATTGAAAATTTTAAATAGCTTCTAGAATTACCCATATTTTTAAATTGGAATTAAGACTTAATTTGATGGCTGTATCTCTCTTTATGCCATCTAAATTAAGTTCTGTTCTTTGACAAGTGAGAAGTTTTAAAAAATCTTTTAAATTACAAAGTAATCTGCTTTTTAAAGGAAATACAAATAACACAAAAATACAGATCTTCCTTTACCATTTCCCTAACCTCATTCCCCAAAGATAACTACTTTTATCAATCTGATATAAAATGTATCAAACCTTTTAATATGGGCTATTTTAAAATAAAAAGTTAGAAGATGTTGACAGACCTGTAGATTACTGACATGAAATAATGCTATACTTAACCATCCTCTGCTTAGATTTTCTCATTTTGTTTTCTGTAGCTAGTTTCTTAAAATATAATTGCCCAATTGAAGAGTGATATATTTTGAATTTTGATAGATACTTCTAAGTAGCCTTCCCAAAGAGTTGCAGAAATTAATTTTTAAGTAACATATGTGTGGGTTTTATTATTGGAAAAATAATGTTTATCATAGACAATTTGACAGATACAGAAAAGCATACCAAAAGAATCACTTTTTCCATCACCTGGTGGTATTCTAATTTTTCTTTCTGTGCACATTAAAAAAAATTATTTTGGGGTGCCTGGGTGGCTCAGTCAGTTGAGCGGCTGCCTTCGGCTCAGGTAATGATTCCAGGGTCCTGGGATCGAGCCCCACATCAGGCTCCCTGCTCAGTGGGGAGCCTGCTTCTCCCTCTTTCTCTGCCTGTGGCTCCCCCTGCCTGTGCTCTCTCTCTGTCAGATAAATAAATAAAATCTTTAAAAAAATAAATAAGAAGAAATTATTTTTCCAAGATTGGAATCATACTATACAAACTGCTTTGAAATTTGCTTTTTTCAAATAACATTATATTGTCATTTTCCTATGTCATTTTATTTATTTTTTCAAAAGATTTTATTTTTAAGTAATCTCTGCACCCAATGTGGGGCTTGAACTCACAAACCCAAGATCAAGAGCCGCATGCTCTACCAGCTAAGCCAGCCAGGCACCCCCCCATGTCATTTTAAAATATATTTATATTACTTCACTGTCTAGTTATACTATACCCTATTTAATTTAAATTACTGGACATCTAGATTGTTTTCTAATATTTGCTCTTATAAATAGGACTAGTGTGCATATCTTTCTGTGTGTATATTTATATCTCTCAGTGCTTTTCAGTATACATATACATTTAGAAGTGGATTTGCTTGATCAGAGTCTGAAAATTTAAGGATTTTCATACATGCCAAATTGCTCTCCTGAAAAATTCCAAGTTACATCATACTAGCAATCTCAGAGTGCTCATTTTTCTGCACCCTGTTAGGTTAAAAAAACAACAGCAACAACAATCAACACATTAAGTTTTAAAAGTAATAAGAAATGAGATCTAGCTATGGTGTGGAATGGAACATGAATTTAAGACATAGCGTCATGTATTGCACTAGTTGAATTCTTACTACCTACATTATTCAGTTAATAAATGTCCTTCATTTTCTTTGCTATTTAGTTTTGATTTCTTTTTGTGTATGTCGTTGTTCTTTGGTTGGCTGCCATTTTGTTCTTTTTATCTATACCTTTTCACCTAGAGACCAAATGAGAGGGTTGACACTGTGTCAGAAAAACCAAGAGAAGAGCCAGTACTAAAAGAGGAACCTCCGGTGAGTTGCTCTATTGAATATTGTCTAACCAGGGATGGTGTAAGAAGGTGAAAGCAGGGTGATTAAATTATAACACATTCCATACGTATTATTACAGTTCCATACTTCTGGATTTCAGAAATTATACTGAAATAAATCTTGGAGCTGGTTTAAGAGGTAGATACTTTCAGTGAATTATTTTTCTTTTCAAAACTATGACCACTTTTTCTTACTGAAGTATAATTGACATATATCATATTAGTTTCAGGTGTACAACATATTGATTTGTTATGAAAATACATTACAAAATGATCACCACAAGAAGTCTAGTTACCGTCTGTCACCATATAAAATTACAAAAATATTTTTATGACCATTTTTAATGGATTATGTGAATTCTCAAGATGCCTTATCAATAATAAGACATCAGAAACATCAGTCCTATTTTCAGTATTTGGAGTGGGGTTCATTATTTTCCTTCTCTTCCTTTTTGCTACTTATGGTTAAGTGTCAGGGAAAGTATAATTGAAGATAAATTTTACATGGTAGCATGCTTAAAGTACTTTGTTCCTAGTTTCTTTTTTTTTTTTAACTTTCTTTGCTGATGAAGTTTTATGAACTTTTCCTATAGGTTCAGCCAATATTATCTTCTGTTCCAACAACAGAAGTGTCTGCTGGTGTTAAGTTCCAGGTTGGCGATCTTGTTTGGTCTAAGGTGGGAACCTATCCTTGGTGGCCTTGCATGGTTTCAAGTGATCCCCAGCTCGAGGTTCATACCAAAATTAACACAAGAGGTAAGTAAAGGCCCACGTAGATATTAAATAAAAGGTTGGGGAAAAAAATTGAATCTTAAATGTTGTATATGACTATAAGGATATACACAGGAGGGGCACCTGGGTGGCTCAGCTGGTTAAGCATGTAACTCTTGATTTCAGCTCATGGTCTCATGGGCCATGGGATCGAGGCTGCATTGGGCTCCGTGCTCAGTGGGGAGTCTGCTTGAGGGTTCTCGTCCTCTGCCCTTCCCCCCACTCATTCTCTCTCTCTCTAAGGTAAATAAATAAATCTTTAAAAAAAAAAAAGAAAGAATATGCATATAATCTAACACCAGAATATCAGTTTTTAATGACCAGTGATTTAATTATGATCTTAATGGGCAAAAAGCCTCTATACAACTGATATGGTCCTTGTTTTCCCTTATAACACCCTGCATTTGTTTTATAATTTCTTCTGTACTTCTTTAAAAACCTTTATCTGACTGATATCTCATGTGAATTCCAAAAGAAAGCAGTTGAGTAAGTAATAAGATGTCTTATATGAGCTTAGTAGGCATTTGGGCCATGCTTTTGTTGTATGTCTTATTTCATCATTGACTCCTTTGAGTAGTAATTTTTTACCCACATAAGTGCTTTTCATCCTGATAAAATTTTCAGGATGCTTTTTCCCTCCACTCCATTTTTGAATCTGCAAATTTACTGAGACATCCTTATAAATTCAATACAACATAAACGTACAGCTTGAATCTAGCTATTTAGCATAGGAATATTAATAAATGTTAAGAAAAGATGTGTTCTAACTTTTCTCTAATTTTTTTCATGGGTTTGTCTAAAACATGTGGATTAGATTTCTGATATTCTAGCATTTGGAATGGACTTGCTTAGTTAGCCAGGGGAAGGTTTGAGCTTGGAATTTATTTCTGGATATTTGCTTTGTGAACTCACTCTTGTTATGTTTTGAATTCCTTATTGTTTGTGACAACTTTGTGCCTATTTCTTTTTCTCTTTAAACTTTCTGTCTTGCTACCTGTTCACTGTTAATGAAGAGAAGAAATGTCTACATAAGTCTTGCAAGTCAGATTTGTGACAAGATCAGCCGTATCTGTAACTTTTGTGCTACATAGCCAGTAATCTGCCCTGGTACAGAAGGCAGTTATCTGTCATTATAACCTGCTGATTCAAGATTGGGTAACTGGAAGCATCAGTGGGGCAGAAGTAAAAACAACAACAACAAAAAAAACCATTGTTGAATGTCTACTTTCATGCAAGACACTGTGTTAAGCAATTCTCTTATATATTTTATGCAGTCCACATAGCAGCAACACTACGAAGTAGGTACTGTTATTATCCTTATGTTTTGACTAAGTAGAGTTTCCGAGAGTCCTTATTCCATAACCTCCACTCTTTTTTTTTTTTAAAGATTTTATTTATTTTATTATTTATTTGACAGAGAGAGAGACACAGCGAGAGAGGGAACACAAGCAGAGGGAGTGGGAGAGGGAGAAGCAGGCTTCCCGCAGAGCAGGGAACGCGATGCGGGGCTAGATCCCAGGATCCTGGGACCATGACCTGAGCCGAAGGCAGACGCTTAACGACTGAGCCACCCAGGCGCCCCTCCACAACCTCCACAACCTCCACTCTTAAACATCCTATGTATTAGAAGGAAAGTAATTGAATTCATCTAGTCATAATTTACCAAGGTTGGGGGGAAGGCAGTCCTAGTTCTTTCATTTATTACTGATTACTAAGTGTTGGACTAGTATTCTCTGAGTACCTTGCAGGTTTAATAATGTTTGTGTCCATGAATGGGAGAAGAAAGGGACAGGGATTTCCCAAAGGACCAAGCCTTTTTAAATTTTAATTCCAGGTAACATACGGTGTTATATTAGTTTCAGGTGTATAATATAGTAATTCAACACTTCCATACATCACCCTGTGCTCATCACAAGTGCACTCCTTAATCCCTGTCACCTATTTAACCCATCCCCCCACGTATCTCCCCTCTGATAACCATCAGTTTGTTCTCTATAGTTGAGAGTCCGTTTCTTGATTTGTCTCTCTCTCTTATTTTTTACCTTTGCTTGTTTTGTTTGTTAAATTCCACGTATGAGTGAAATCATATGGTATCTGACTTATTTTGCTTAGCATTATACTCTCTAGTTCCATCCATGTCATTGCAAATGGCAAGATTTCATTCTTTTTATGGCTGAGTTACACACACACACACACACACACACACACACACCCCCTCCATCTTCTTTTTTTTTTTTTTTTAAAGATTTTATTTATTTATTTGACAGAGAGAGACACAGCGAGAGAGGGAACACAAGCAGGGGGAGTGCGAGAGGGAGAAGCAGGCTCCCCGCAGAGCAGGGAGCCCGATGCGGGACTCGATCCCAGGACCCTGGGATCATGACCTGAGCCGAAGGCAGTCGCTCAACTGACTGAGCCACCCAGGCGCCCACACTACATCTTCTTTATTCACCAGTTGATGGATACTTGGGCTGCTTCCGTATCTTGGCTATTGTAAATAGTGCTGCTATAAACATAAAGTGCATGTATCCCTTTCAGTTAGTATTTTTGTGTTCTTTCGGTAAATACCCAGTAGTGCAATTGCTGGATCATAAGGTAGTTCTGTTTTTAACTTTTTGAGGATATTCCATACTGTTTTCCACAGTGGCTGCAGCAGTTTGCATTCCCACCAACAGTGCAAGAGGGTTCCCCTTTCTCTGCATAGTTGCCAACACCTGTTGCTTCTTTTTTTTTTTTTTAAAGATTTTATTTATTTATTTGAGACAGAGAGAATGAGAGAGAGAGAGCACATGAGAGGGGGGAGGGTCAGAGGGAGAAGCAGGCTCCCCGCCGAGCAGGAAGCCCGATGCGGGACTCGATCCAGGGACTCCAGGATCATGACCTGAGCTGAAAGCAGTCGCTTAACCAACTGAGCCACCCAGGCGCCTAACACCTGTTGCTTCTTGTGTTGTTAATTTAGACATTCTGACAGGTGTGAGATTATATCTCATTGTAGTTTTGATTTGCATTTCCCTGATGATCAGTGATGATTAGTATCTTTCATGTGTCTGTTAGGGCAAAGCCTTCCTAAATAAAATAATCCATGTACCTGTCTGGGTCTCTGGAGCACTCTGGGGTATTAGATCATGTGAGAGTTGTGGCTCTTCAATTCTCTCTCCTTAGAAAAGCATGCTTTTGAAATTATATAGAGTTTCACATTTAATTACTCTATGAAAACCTGCTAATTACAGCTTTTTTATGGGATACAAGTGAAAGCACAATTTTATGCCGCATCTGTATTTCAAAGGAAGTATTTAAATTTAGGAATTAATCTAATATGGTCTGGAATTCCCTAGGTAATCTCCTGCTTTACTGCTGGTAAAATTTGTTTGTATGATTGAGAAAACCAGAACTCTGAGAATTTAGAAATTTTTTAAAGTTTAAATTAATTAAAAGTGTATTTTGAGGGGCGCCTGGGTGGCTCAGCCGTTAAGCGGCTGCCTTCGGCTCAGGTCATGATCCCAGGGTCCTGGTATCGAGCCCTGCATCGGGCTCCCTGCTCGGCGGGAAGCCTGCTTCTCCCTCTGCCTGCTGCTCCCCCTGTTTGTGTTCCCTCTCTCGCTGTGTCTCTATCAAATAAATAAAATCTTTAAAAAAAAAAAAGAGTGGAGGTTATGGAATAAGGACTCTCTGAAACTCTATTTACTTATTCAAAACATAAGGATAGGGCGCCTGGGTGGCTCAGTTGGTTAAGCGTCTGCCTTTGGCTCGGGTCATGGTGTCGGGGTCCTGGGATCGAGCCCCGCATCGGGCTCCCTGCTCAGCGGGAAGCCTGCTTCTACCTCTCCCACTCCCCCTGCTTGTGTTCCCTCTCTTGCTGTGTCTCTCTCTATCAAATAAATAAATAAAATCTTTTTTTTAAAGTATATTTCGATATTTTTAATTTTCTTTTTTGCAGTAGTTTTTAAAATAATAGCTTTCTTGAGATATGATTTACATACAAATTAGTGATTTTTAGTACATTTACGGAGTTGTGCAGTCATCACTACATCTAATTTTAAAACTTTTTTTTAAAAGACTTTATTTGGGTCACGTGGGTGGCTCAGTTGTTAAACGTCTGCCTTTGGCTCAGGTCATGATCCTAGGATCATGGATGAGCCCCGCGTCGGGCTCCCTGCTCAGCGAGAAGCCTGCTTCTCCCTCTCCCACTGCCCTACTTGTGTTCCCTCTCTCGCTGTCTCTCTGTCAAATAAATTTTAAAAAATCTTAAAAAAAAAGTGTTAAAAAAATAAATAAAAGGCTTTATTTGACGTTGTGGGAGCGAGCTTGCATGAGTGAGGGAGGGGCAGAGGGGAAGAGAGAATCCCAAGCAGACTCCCCGCTGAGTGCAGAGCCCAAACCAGGGCTGGATCTCACCACCCTGAGATCATGACCTGAGCTGAAAACAAGAGTCAGACACTTAACCAACTGGGCCACCCAGGTGCTCCTGGAACATTTTCCTCAACCCAAAATGAAATCCCATGTCCATTAGCAGTCATTCCCCATTCCTCCTCTCTTCCCCCAGCGCTAAGCAACCACTAGCTACTTTTTGTCTCTATAGATTTGCCTTTTCTGGACATTTCATATAAATGGAACCATATAACATACAGCCTTTTGTGTCTGGCTTCTTTCACTTAGCCTCATGTTTTAGAGGTTCATGTTGTGGCATCTGTCAGTACTTCTTTTTTTGTTGCCAAATAGTATTCCATTGTATAGCTGTATGCAGTGCAGTTTTAGAGAAAGTTTTCTGTTTTTCTGAAAATCAAAAAAACACAGTATAAAAATTTTATTGATATGTTCACACATGATGACTGTGAAGCATTTTGTGTTGCTTGTTATCTAAACAACCTTGTAAAATTTTTCTTAATTATTTTTAAATAGTAGTCATTGATTTCCATATTATTGGTCCATATTACTAGATTCTTAGCTTTGGAAAAAATAACAGTTTTTACACATAAAGATCAAAT